TTCCCCAAATGTTATTTCTTGTGTGTGTGAGGATGTTTCCAGACGAGATTGCGTTGGGATTGGTGAATGGAATAATCACGATGTGGATGGGCATCATCCAGCCCCGAGGACCTGTCTAGAATAAAAGTGCAGAGGAACGTCTCAAACCTGACTGCTTGAGCAGGAGCATCAGCTTTCTGGCCTCAGTATTCCTTGCTCTCAGACCTGCAGCCCTGGGCGGGGACCTATGTCATTGGCTCCCAACTCTCCTACCTTCAAATTACACCCTGGTTTTCCTGGGTCTCCAGCTCACAGATAGCAGATTGTGGGACTTCTCAGCCTCCATAATCACAGGGGCCAGTTCCTTATGATACATCATGTATATATATGGCACTAGGGCAACACCTAAAGCAAATTCGACTAGTGGAGAGCATATAATAATGCAGTCACAGAAATTACTCTTTGTTTGGTCAGAACTGCCAGGGTGGGGATGTGCAATCTGGTGCTGTGTGAAAGATGAAAGGATTGCACAAAAGCTAGATTGGAAAATAGAGTTTATTTAAAAAGTAAGTGGGGGGTGGGCAGAGCGAGAGGAGATTCACCTTTCCAAGGTTGGAGAGGGGGCCAAAGACTAGTAAACATGGCAGCAGCCATAGCTCAGAGAGCACATGGACACACCAGAGTCTAGTAAAGCAACGGTGGCTGGCTACTTGAGGCTGGATGCTTTTAAACATTCCCCTTTGACGGAGACAGGTCATTAAGGTGGTTGGATGGTGGTCTGCTCCATGTCATCATGAAGTGTAGGTAAACACAGGTACTGACATCAGGTGATGGACAGCAGGCAGCTGGGTGGCTTAGTCACATGACAGTTGCCATGTTGATGGGGTCTGTGTCATGAAGGTCATGAAGAGCTGATTAGGTTAACTTGTTTATGAAACAAGCTGAGGAGGAGACTGTAAAGCAATTATCCATCGCTACCTCTGACAAATCGGTTTTGTCCTTGGCTAGTAGATTAGAGAGTAAATTAGAGTGAACTACTAGAAGAACATGACAGAGCTAAGCGATGTTAAAATGGTTGCTCTGTCCTTTCATTCTTCTAATTTGAACCAATGTTTTTAAACAGAGAGATTTTACATAAAAATCCAGCTTTTTATGTTTTCTTGAAAAATCAGAAGCTCTGCAACACGGGGTCCACATTTCCACATGGCTCCATAGTAATCAGGAACTGAGTAGTAGTTGCTCACTGCCCTGTCCTTATTTGCTTATCTCCCTAGCCCTTGAAGCCTTTGAGTTTGCTTGACATAGTACTAGTTCTACAGCCAGCTCTGTTTCTTAAGTCTTCCGATAGTCTTCCAGAGTGCTCATTGTTTACCAAATACCTTAAACACAATATAATCAACAAAACCTAAGCTAAAGCATCTCTTTCTCCTCAGGCAACTAACTCTTCACCAATAGTCTCTACTTCCCTTGTCCAAGCTAGAAACCCATCCATCTTCTAGTAACCAGAGAAGAGCAAATTAAAACAGCAATAGAAGACCTTATTATAAACATAATGGCAAAAAGTACAAAAGTGGCTCATATCATGTATTGGAGAGGATGTTGGAAAAACATGTTACAGAAAAACAAATCACGAAGGGCATCACGTTGTAGGCTTCTCCAGGGCACTAACCTGGACGGCTATGCTAAGGACCTCTTAGATCTGAAAACTACGAGTGGCCACGACTGCTTTTCACCTACTCAGTATGCATTTTGCCCTTCTTCCTTACTTGCAGAACTCCTATTATCAGAGTAACAATGTATCTTACTTAGAAAAACATGCATACACACATATGTTCCAGCCCCATTCGTAGCAAGGGGTGGCTAGTCATACAGAGAAGTCATCGGGTGGGCCCTGGGGAAAGTCTTTTTTGTCCCCTGCCATCTTGTACCATGGATCAACCTGGAGGCTGGGCACATGCTCTGAGAACAGCAGAGCAGAAAGACTGATGGAGGATGGGTTACTGAAGAGTTGTGGTCACCATACCAGCCCTAGACAGCTCATCTCCAGGCTTCTATAATGGAGTAACACTTTGTTTAATAAGCTGTTATAGATCACCTCTGGTACTAGCACCTTGGTGCAGTTCCTGACACTCAAGGTTTTTTCTCAGGAAAAAAAGTCACTTTTTTCTAATGGTCAGAGGTAAGGTCTACAGACTGGTAGCATGATGAAGTTAAGATAATTTAGGCTTAAACAGATTAACTTTAAGACAAATAAGAGAAGCATTGCTTCAAGTAGCAGTTAATATACTTATTTATGCTCTAATTAATTACTAAAACCTGAAGTATTATCTTAAAGATAACTTGAAGGTGGTATTCATGAAATTTCTTACTCCACAAGGGTGAAGAAAGTGGAAAATTTAGCATCTATAAAAATAGATTTCAATAAGCTCATCAGTGGAATGATAATACTTTAAGGGACATCAGAATTTTTTGGCAGTACAACTTTATTCTATATCATGGAGGACATACTGTGTCTTCCCACTAGATTTCCTTTGATGACTCAGGGATCGCTGTTGACTTGACAATAGGGTGGAATCCCTACATTTTTACATAGGGTACCTTGTGAAGGAAGAATGCGTGCGGGACCTAGAGAGGGCAGATCCCGCCTGGAAACCTCACTGTTTGTGATTGATATAGTGGACAAGCACACAAGACAAAAAGACACACAGGTTGGGCACAGTAGCTCATACCTGTAATCCCAACATCCTGGGAGGCCAAAGCAGGAGAAACCTCATCTCTACAAAAAAACTAAAAAATTAGAAGGATGTGGTGACACATGCCTGTAGACCTAGCTACTAAGGAGGCTGAGGTGGAAGGATCATCTGAGCTCAGGAGTTCAAGATTGTGGTGAGCTGTGATCGTGCCACTGCATAACATTATTTCATTCTTTTTTTATGGTTGAGTAGTATTCCAGTGTGTGTGTGTGTGTGTGTGTGTGTGTGTGTGTGAGATCAGCCTGGGTAACAGAGTGAGAATCCCAACTCAAAAAAAAAAAAAAAAAAAGAAAGACACACAGAGTGTTTTAAAATGTAGATTTTATTATTATTCAGGTATGGGGAGGCCAACAGATCAGGAGATGATCTGCCATGAAGAAAATCGTTTATTACTTTACAGAGCCAAAAGGATGCAACAAAGCCACACAAGGCCATGTGGGAAAGCATCAAGATCCATGAGGCAAAAGTACTGGCAGGAAATGTGGCAAGAGCCTTTATCATGATTTCTGTAGGAAGGAACAGGCAAGGCAGAGTAAGCAGGTTTAGGATAGACTAGTTCAAATAACTTCAGCAGGCTCTGAGGTGCAGGGGTTGTCCCTAGTTTTCTGGCACTTGGCCCCACAGTGATTAGGGCAGGGGTAATACTGGCTTGATGTGCAACAACCTGATAAGTGAGGTCGAGGGTTAGTGGGCTCTGTGCTAGTTAGTTTGCACATGAAAAATAAGCTTTCTGGGAGTTGTTTGCTATCAATAGGAATTAGTTAACCCTTGCAGGGTCAGGGAGGCCCCAGATGCCAAAGTATTAAGAATACAGAAAATAAGAAAATATGGTGTTTTTGGTTTTGTTGAGTTGGAGTCTCACTCCATCATCCAGGCTGGAGTGCAGTAGCATGCTCACAGCACTGAAACCTGGACCTGCTGGGCTCAGGCGATCCTTCTGCCTCAGCCTTCCAAGTAGCTGGAACTACAGGCACATGCCACCACGCTTGGCTAATTTTTTGATTGTAGAGATGTCTCACCAAGTTGCCTAGGCTCGTCTTAAACCCGTGGGCTCAGGCAATCTTCTCACCTCAGCCTCCAAAATGTTTGGATTATAGGTGTGAACCACTGTCCCCAGCCCAAGAAAATATAGTTAATGGAAGTGGCCACTCATCTAGGACACCATACAGGATTCTCATGTTCAGCAGTGTTGAGAAAGTATTTATGGATACCAGCTCTGTGAAAAGCGCTGTCATGACACTGTTGCTGACCTCTGCAAATCTCAGGCACAGTACGCTGAGCTCAGGATCTAATTTCTGAAAATATTTAATTGAAAGGGATACAAGTGATTTTTGGTTACATGGATGAGTTGCATAGTGGTGGAGTCTGGGCTTTTAGTGTACCCATCACCTGAATAGTGTACATTGTACCTGAGAGGTGATTTTTCACCCACCCCACTCCCATCACCCTACTCCCTTAGTCTCCAATGTCCATTATACCATTCTATATGCCTTCATTGACCCATAGCTTAACTCCCACTTACAAGTGAGAATATGCGATATTTGGTTTTTCATTCCTGGGTTACTTCCCTTAGGATGATGGCCTCCAGTTCCATTCAACTTGCTTCAAAAGGCATTATTCCATTCTTTTTTTTAATGGTTAAGTAGTATTTCACAGTGTGTGTGTGTATCTCACATTTTCTTGGCTCACACTGACGTTGCCGAAGGAAGGCGGTGTGTTCCAAAGAAGCCCGTCAGTTTAAAGGCTGGAGAATCAATTGCCAGGGTCACACAAACGAAAAAACAAATAAATCCACGAAACAAGAGCACTTTTCTATTATGTTCTAGAATATTGCCTCTTATTTTCCCACTAGGGATACTGCCCTTTGCAACTCAGGCCTAATGTGCTTGCTGTCTTTTCTTGTGGGTCTGAACTCAGGAACAAGAAAAATGACCAAGTATTCAGACACCAGAACGTTACGCTCCAGTCCTGGTTTGTCCCGATTTCTATTAATTCCTGGCCAATCATTTCTGGGAGACTCACTGTTCTCATCTGCAAAACAAGGAGCTAGTAAGTGCATTCTATAGAGAACGTCTTCTCAAAGGAAACTGGCAGGTGCAAATGCCTGGGACAGAGGCTGGAACCCTCTCTATCACGCAAAGGCTTTCCCGCTAGCTCCCTCGCCGTCACACATCGCCTCGCCCCTCTTCGCCTCCCCATAGGCGACACCCGCGCATGCGCACCATCAGACCCTTCCCACTTTCCGTCGCTTCCTGTTCTGTCTTCGCTCCGCCCACCGCTGGCGCCGTCGTTTCCGGGTCACCCCGGAAGCGGTCGGAGCATTTCTGTCCCCTGGCCTTCTGAGCCCCTTCCTTCGCCAGCGTCTTTCCCACCGTCTCGGTCGCCGGGGAAGGTGGTTGCCTGGGAGGTTGTCCAGTTTCACAGCCGCGCAGAGCGGGCAAGGGCCGTCCTCCGTGCCCTTGCTTGTCCGCAGCCCCGTCCGGCGAGCGGCGCCGAGTTCCAGGGCGCCATGGCCAGGGCCCGCCGCGGCCGGCCGGCTGTGAGGCCGCCCTTCGCTGCCCGCGCGCTCCCGCGGCCCCTGCGTCCGCCTGCGCCCGTCTCGGCCTGAGCGCAGCCCCTCAGCGGCCGTGGCCGCCTCGTCGGAGGGCATGGCCTCCGAGGCGCCGTCCCCGCCGCGGTCGCTTTCGTCGTCGCCGCCGGCCTCCCCCGAGCCCGAACTGGCGCAGCTGAGGCGGAAAGTGGAGAAGTTGGAACGCGAGCTGCGGAGCTGCAAGCGGCAGGTGCGCGAGATCGAGAAGCTGCTGCACCACACGGAACGGCTGTACCAGAGCGCCGAGAGCAGCAACCGCGAGCTCCGCACGCAGGTGCGCTCCCGGCCCGCCCGCGAAGGGCCCCCTGGCAGGTCTCGGAAGTGCTTGGTAGAGTCCTTGACATAAGCAGGCGAAAGCTCAGCGCGGCCTTAATTCCAAGTGCATTCGGAGCGAACGCAGAGTTCAGGCTACTTGAGTTAAATGAGTGTCTCCGGCGGGCGAGAAATGAACGCGAGCACTGTGGCTGCGTTGCCTTCCTTCTCGCGTGTCCCCATACTCTGGAGGCAGTAGGCACATGTGTAATGTTTCATTCTAGATCCCGTTTTGAGTGCTGAATTTGAGCCAGAATCCCATCGCTATCAGTCATCGGGTGTTCCCATTTGCACTGGGCTTCAGATGCCCGTCAAGTGAGAATGGTCCTCATGCCTGTAATTCCAGCGCCTTGGGAGGTCGAGGCGGAAGGATCGCTGGGCCGGCGGCTCAAGATCAGCCTGGGTGGCAAGACTCCGTCTCAGCAAAAAATTTTACAAAATTTTTTGGATGTGGTGGCACATGCCTATGGTCCCAGCTACTCAGGAGGTGGAGGTAGGAGGATGGCCTGAATCCAGGATGTCGAGGCTACAGTGAGCCGTGACCACACCCCTGCACTCCAGCCTGGGCAACAGAACGAGGCTTTGTCTTTAAAAAGAATGATAGTAAGGATCGCCGGAGCCCAGCAGGTCGAGGCTGCGGTGGCCCGGAGCGGCCACTGCACTCCAGTCTGGGCGACTGAGACTGAGTGAGACTCCAACTCAAACAAACAAACAAACAAGCAAACAAAAAGAATGATAGTAGCACACAAGATTAAACGTGAGCAGACTTAAACAGTTTTATGAACTGTTGAATGCTATACATGTGTAAGATTGCTTTTCTGGGCTTTTGTTGGATTTTCTCATGAAGTAGGGAATTTATAGCTTTTTATTAGCGCCATTAAGCAGCTTATTTCATTTGCAAAACATACAGTAAGGGCAAATATTTAAACTCACATTTAAAAAAAGGAAGAGCATAATATTTTTCCTGCTTGATACTGTTGGACAGTTGCACTCTCAGGACAGTTTTTTTTTCCCCACAGTTATTAATTTCTATTTAACTTTTCTAGTTCTTCATAATTTGTTGGTACATTTCTTAAAACCAATATGTAGGCTGAACACTAAAACATCATCAAACTTTGTTATGCTTTGTTAGTAAATGAGGTATGAAAATAACTGCTGAATTGCAGTGACTTTGCTCATTGCATAGGCATCCTGTGTTATGACATAAGTTTTAATTCATTTATTCAGCAGTTCCTGAACACCTATGATGTACAGAACCGTGCTCTGAGAATACAAATGTAAAAATATCATGGGAAGGGGGAACAAAATATGACAACCTTTAAAAAAAGAACCCTTTTATAATTCTAAATTGGTTTTTTTTTTTTTGAGTTGGAGTCTCACTCTGTTGCCCAGACAGGAGTGCAGTGGCCACTTCCGGCCACCGCAGCCTTGACCTGCTGGGCTCTGGCGATCCTTCCCCTTCAGCCTTCCAAGTAGCTGGAACTACAGACGCGTGCTACCACGCCCGGCTAATTGTTTTGATTTTTATTGTGGAGATGAGGTCTCGCCAAGTTGCCCGGGCAGGTCTCGAACCTGCGGGCTCAGGCAATTCACTCACCTCGGCCTCCCATGGCGCGGGATTACAGGTTGAGCCACTGAGCCTGGCCTATAATTCTAAATTGCTAAAGCACTGCTTGCATTAGAAATCCTAAAAGAAAACTTTTATTTGCTAATCTTCAGAGCCAGCATTTTGGTTATTACTGTTAATTTGCAAATGCACACTGACTAGAGTAATGGGACCGTGTGAACAGGAGCCTTTATTTTTAACAAAAAAATGTTTTTACTGCTAATCTTTAAAAAGATCAGCAGCTGGGCGCTAAAAAGATCAGCAGCCTGGGGCTGGACGCGGTAGCTGACGCCTATAATCCTAGCACTTTGGGAGGCCGAGGCGAGAGGATTGCCTGAGCCCAAAGGTTCGAGACCAGCATGAGCAACTTGGTGAGACCTTGTCTCTACAATAAAAATAAAAAAAATTAACGGCGTATGGTGGAATGTGCTTGTAGTTCCAGCTACTTGGAAGGCTGAAGCGAAAGGATCACCTGAGCCCAGCAGGTCAAGGCTGCAGTAGCAGTGAGCATGCCAGTGCACTCCAGCCTGGGTGAAACAGGGAGACTCCTACTCAAAAAACAAAACAAAACAAAAAAAAAACAGCAGTTCTCCCTAAAGAATTAGAAAAATTTAAAACTATTAGTTCCTATCCCTATCGAATTATTCAATAATCCAATATCATGCAGTGTTTTCCTTCTGGAAATAACTATTCACTTAAATATGTTAATGTCACTTGTAAGCTTTAAGACACATTTTTAATTTGACTACAAAATTTTTTGAGATAGGGTTTCACTCCGTCACCCAGGCTGGAGTGCAGTGGCACAGCCCTAGCCCACTGTAAATTCTCCCTCCTGTGCTTAGCTATCCTCTTGCTTCAGCTTCCTGAGTCACAGACTACAGGTGCATGCCACCATGTCTACTTCATTTTTTATTTTTATTTTTTGTAGAGATATGTTGCTCAGACTGGTCTAGAACTGGTCTCAAGTCATCCTCCTTTCTTGACCTCCCAAAGTGCTGGAATTCCAGGTGTGAGCCACCATGCCAGCATTCTTTTTTTTTTTTAAAGAAATAAAAGGTAGTCTTATGACTAGATAACTGCAGCAGTAGGGAACAGAGAAGGTGACTGCCTGAGAGGGGCATCTGTCCTCCCATGTGCCCCCATTTTTAGTCTAACATGAAAAATTGAAATGCACGGAAAGTCTTGACTGCTGTGGATAATAATAACTCCTTACTCTCCTAAGTCAGCCTTCCCTGGTGGCAGGGTGGATTTTGTTAACTTTCACTACAAATTTCTGAATATATTTTGAGTTGGGGTCTCATTCTGTCACCTAGGCTGGAGTGCAGCCGTATGTCTTGGTGCAACATAACCTCAAACTCCTGGGCTCAAGAGTAGCTGAGGCTATAGGCATGTGCTGCTGCGTGTGGCTAATTTTTTATTTTTATTTTTTTGTAGAGACAAGGTCTCACTATGTTGCCCAGACTGATCTCCAACTCCTGGGCTCCCAAAGTGTTGGCATTACAGACATGAACCACCTCACTTGGCCACTGAATATGTTTTATCTGGAGCAGTGAAAAATTGGCTTGAGAATATGTACAGGCCTTGGGGTTAAAACAAACCAACCAACCAAAAACTTCAGAGAATTCTTATGTAAAATTGGTGTCAGGACAGCTAATTTGTAAAGTGGTGTGTGAATTAAGGCAGGGTTATCCAAAGCAGCAAGTATAGTGCCCAGTATGTAGTAGATACTAAATCTAATTCATAGTAATGCTAGTAGTCAGAGCCAGGACGAAGACAAGGCAGTCAGGCTCCTAGGTGAGAAGTTTAGTGGGCACCAATTCCCAAATAGGCACCCTGTACTTGCGTGAATCTGAGAGTGAGTGCCTCCTTAGGTATTTCACCCCAGGTGCCTTGCTTGCCTTACCTGAGTTCCTTCCCTGGTCGTAGCCAGAAGTGCTTGGATAACTTATATATAGTCAGTTTTATTGCCTTTCTCTGTTTAAGCTTTATGTATCATGGAATACTTAGAAGCTGTTTTTAGTTGGTTTCACGCATGTAGTAAGCACTGTTTCATATGAAGGTCCTATCTGACTGAGTGTACTGACTGACTGCTTCTCATCTGCTTTGGGGCATTTCCATGCTGTTGCTCTCTGGCCTAGGGCACTTTCAAGGGCACTTAAGTGAGTGCGGCATGTGTAGGACAGATGTCCCTTCAGACCATTGTCCTTCTCTGTTCCCTCCTATTACTGTTTAGTTATAGGACTACTATTTAAAGAAAACGTTTATTAAAGCTCATACGTGGCATTTTTGAGGGAGTAGTTAATTCCAAGTGGAGGACACTGAGTGATATTAACTCAATAGTCACGGGAGTTTGTAGTTGTTAAAATTTATAATAATTTAGGGACAACTGCTCACTTTAAAAAATATTAGCATAAAGACATTCTTTTTTTTTTTTTTTTTTTTTGAGTCAGAATCTCACTCTGTTGCTCAGGCTGGAGTGCAGTGGCACAGTCACAGCTCAGTGCAGCCTGGACCTCCTGGGCTCAGGTAATCCTTCTGCCTCAGCCTCCTGAGTAGCTGGGACTATAGGTACAAACCACTATGCCCAACTAATTGTTTTTATTTTTTGTTGAGACAAGGTCTCACTATGTTGTCTAGGCTGGTCTCAAACTCCTGAGCTCAAGCAGTTCACCCACCTCAGCCTCCCAAAGTGCTGGGATTACTGGCGTGAGCCACCGTGTACTGCCAACATTCTTATTTGTTAGAAATATAGGATCCTGTTCACAGAGTTCCATTACTGAATTTAGTCTGTTTTTTGGAAGAGATATTTGGATGTTTAACAAGAGAGTTTAAGAATAAAAACATTGGCTGGGCTTGGTGGCTTAGCTTGTAATCCCAGCACTTTGGGAGGCTGCGGCGAGTAGATTGCCTGAGTCCACGGGTTTGAGACCAGTCTGGGCAACTTGGTAAGACCTCGTCTCTAAAATAAATAAAAAATTAGCCGGGCGTGGTAGCGCGTGCCTGTATTTCTGGCTACTTGGGAGGCTGAGGCGGAAGGATTGCCTGAGCCCAGCAGGTCGACGCTGGGGTGGCTGTGAGTATGCTACTGCACTCCAGCCTGGGTGACAAAGTGAGACTCCAACTGAAAAAAAAAAAAGAATTAAAACATCTCTTTCTGCAAATTAAATGTAAAAGGTGAAAAATTAAATTACATTTTTAGTTTTTCCAAATGGGAAACTAGCTGTTCTCGGCAATTACTTGTAATGGCAGGAGAGTGATTTATATGCGAGTGTTACATGATTTATTTTCTCTAAAACTATGTTTTCTTTCAGGTGGAAGAACTCAGTAAAATACTCCATTGTGGGAGAAATGAAGATAATAAAAAGTCTGATGTAGAAGTACAAACAGAAAACCATACTCCTTTGTCAGTCTCAGGTATTTAACTTATAGTGAGGCTATACTAATACTGTTATATTCAAATCATGCTAATGTATAGTTTTCTTTAAATTTAAAATAGACTAAGAGCTAGACAAATGAGAGCTATTATGTATAATGTTGCCTTCTCTCTGTGTGATTTGGTATTCAGATGATCAATTTGCCTTTCTGGTGGAAAAATTTGAAGTGTAATGTCCTATAATTTTTATAGTGTTGCTAAGGTGTCTTCAGTGGCCCACTCACTGAGTAATTTTTGCTATACAGTTAGCTATCCACATTCATATCTGGCTTTCTTTGTGACCGGGGCATGTATTTTCTTACTGATGTGTTCTACTTAACGTTGTGTGTAGTGCCAGTCACTTAGACCCTGGTGGGAATGGTGAGCCCTCCATCATGACATCATGGCATTATGTTATAATGCAAAGTAACTGAGATACCGAGTTTTAACATATACAGAAGGTGCCAAAAAATGTATACACATTTTTAAAAAGAGAAAAAACTATATTAAAATTGTAATATTCAATAATATCGGTAACAAAAGATGAGTACAAGTCACCTTTGACTTCTGAAATTATAAGAGGTTCTCAAAGTGATTGCCATCAGCATCCAGACACTTTGATTACAGCAAACTATTGCAGGACTTGTTGCTGTGTGAGGCCTCCCGGATCTTCCCTTGTGCACATCACACACAGTACCACATGTCTCAGACTTATCACGGATGCATGCAGTTGTTAGGTGTGTTGGAGGTTCTGTTGCATACTCACATTGTCGTACTACTTTAAAGTGGTCTTACATTCCTCGACTGACAGCTATGCTTTCGCCATTTTCTTTGACTGTCCTGCTTGTCGCAAGGTGACACTAGCATTCATTTGATTAAAGCCATCTTTTGAGCCAAGTCATACTGCATGTTGCTGCTGTATTCAATTCAACTTTGAAAAATAATACATACATAACATTTCTTTTTTCTTTTTTTTTTTTTGAGTTGGAGTCTTACTCTGTCGCCCAGACTGGAGTGCAGTGGCCGCTCCTGGCCACCACAGCCTCGACCTGCTGGGCTCCGGCGATCCTTTCGCCTCAGCCTTCCAAGTAGCCGGAATTATAGGCATGCGCTGCTACGCCCGGCTGATTTTTTGATTTATTGTAGAGATGAGGTCTCACTGCCCAGGCGGGTCTCGAACCTGCGGGCTCAGGCAATCCACTCACCTCAGCCTCCCAAAGGCGCGGGATTACAGGCTGAGCCACTGAGCCCGGCCATAACATTTCTTAAAGTGTGTATACATTTTTTTGACACCCCCATATGTGTCACAAGAAGTAGTAATCTTTCCCATTAAGTTTTGCCTTGCATTATTCAGCACATAATTTAGTGAAATTGCTAAACACAGTAGTAGTACTAACCTTAATTACTTGTATGAGATACACACACACACTTTTATTTATTTATTTGAATTGGAGTCTCATTTTGTCACCCAGACTGGAGTGCAGTGGCATGCATACTTACGACCACCCCAGCGTCGGCCAGCTGGGCTCTGGTGATCCTTCCACCTCAGCCTTCCAAGTAGCCAGAACTACAGACGCATGCTACCACACCTGGCTAATTTTTTTTTATTTGTTGTAGAGACGAGTTCTCACCAAGTTGTCTGGGCCGGTCTCAAACCTGTGGGCTCAGGCAATTCCCTCACCTCAGCCTCCCAAAGTGCTGGGATTACAGGCTGAGTTACCAAGCCCAGCCTATGTATATATTTTTAAAAGCAGCATCAGAAGAGAACTTTGACAGGAAAATCAACCCCTAATTCCCTGCCTTTATTTTGTTGTCATTGATAAGCAACAGTATTAAGAGTTGCTAAGTGTTCCTGACTGAACACCATCAATCTATCTATTTTGTTTTTACTTTTGCTGTGGAAAATCCAAATCTACTTGCCTTTTTTTCTTTTTAACCTGACAACTGGGGTATTGAAGGAGACATTTGAATCAAAGGAAAAGTACTTTTTTTTTTTTTTTTAGAAAGTGAATTAGAGAGAAAGAGGAGATTCACCTCCCTAAGGTAGGGAAGAGGGCCAAAACCAGGAAACATGGCCTGGCCGTAGCACAAAGAGCACATGGGCACACCATAGCTTAGCAAGGCAATGGTGGCAGCTGCTCGTGGTTGAGTCCTTTTAATCCTTCCCTTTGATGGGGAAGGTCATAAGGTGATTGGGTGGTGGTCTGTTCCACATCATCACGAGGGGACAGGTAAGCACAGGTACTGACATCGGATGATGGACAGCAGGCAGATGGGTGGGTTAGTCACATGGTTGCTGCCAAGATGGTGGGATCTGTCTATGTCATGAAGGCCAAGAAGGGCTGATGAGGTTAACTTGAGTTTTATGAGTGGAGACAAATACCTTACCCCATGTCTCTCCTTCATTTGGTCATTCCTGAGTTGTTTACTTTATAATAAACCCATATAGGGCCCATTTATGAGTGAGAGCATGCAGTATTCTGTTTCTGTTTCTGTGATAGTTCACTTACAGTGATGGTCTCCAGCTGCATCCATGTTGCTGCAAAGGATGTGATTTTGTTGTTCTTTATGGCTGCAGTGGTAATCCACGTGTTCCATCAGTATCACATTTTCTTCCAGTCCACTTTCAATGGGCATCTGGGTTGGCTTCATGTTTTTGCTATTGTTAATAGTGTCAGCAGAGGAGAGAGGCCTTGATCTGGCAGAATCAAAGGAAAATACTTCTGCAATTTTATTTGCACCATCATTTTTAATAATTTAAAATTGTACAGTTGTAAAATCATGATTTATTTGCAATATGTGCTATTTGCAGTATGGCTTTTTGCAATCAATGCCAGTGCTTTGGGGTTAAGACCTTTTTATATATACTATTTTAATATGATATATCACCTAATTTGTTTTTCTACAGATTATTATTATCAGACATACTGTAATGATATTAGTCTTCCAAATAAAGTGACTGAACTCTCAGAGCAGCAAGATCAGGATATTGAAAATCCTACTTTCAATTTGAAAGACCAGTTACAAGTAGAAAATGATGTTTACACTGATACCAATATCACAGAAAATGTTGAATGTAGACAAGAGGACCATTTTGCCTCAAGTTCACAGGTAATAAAATACTAAAAACTATAAAACTGTTGATGCCTAAGAACTTGTTCTTCTTCATTGTTATGCAGAAAAATAGATTTCTTTGGTCCATCACATCATATACAGGGGTTGTAAACATTCTTATGTATAGTTATGCAAAAAAATTTTAATTTTTGAAAACCAAAATTAAATGTATAGTTGTTTTCCTGCTACATTGTATTCTCAACTTTTATGATGTATGCAAGAACTGAAACAAAGAAAACTTGTCAATATATTTTGACTCAGCCAACTTTAGGCAACAAGCCCAATACCATGTTCACACGTAAAAAGTTTGTTGATGCCTCCTTTAAGTCACTGTCACTGTTCAGATTTCCTTGAATGTTTTTTATGAATTTGTTTTTACAGTTTGTTTGAGTGAGGATTCCCCACTATGTGTTATATATGCCACTAAATCTATAGCTTTCTCCTTCATTTCTTCTTTTAAAATTTTTTTCCGATTGAACATATAATTATTAAAGAATCTAGATCATTTGTCTTACAGAATATCTCAGTGTCTGTATTTTGTGGATTGCTGCTCTATATTATCATACATTTATTTTTGAATAATTGTTGCTCACTTTTGATGTCTTCAAAACTGGGTTGAAATTGAAATAACTGACTCATTGGTGAATATTTTAAAAAGTGGTTTAAGTTGTAATTGGTAGGCATCCCTTTTGTTATAGAAACTGAAGTCATTGCTTAAACATAGTTTTAAGTAATGATTTAAGTCTGTTTATTGTTTTGAATTCTGCTAATTTTTAAATTGGTGTACAGAGGCTTTTGTCTTACTTGATATGACTGTATCTTTTGTAGGAGCCAACATCTGTGTTAGCAACAGAAGATACATCCTTAGAAGGGTCATCATTAGCTGAGAGTTTGAGAGCTGCAGCTGAAGCTGCTGTATCACAGACTGGATTTAGTTATGATGAAAATACTGGACTATATTTTGACCACAGCACTGGTTTCTATTATGATTCTGTAAGTATTTCAGACCTTTTAATACTGTATGGTTGTATATTTAGTGCCTGACATCAAATATCAAACTCTAAGCTGAAGAAAAGCAAAAAGCTGCATTTATTTATTCATTTATTTTATTCTAAAGATGTGGAGTATAATTCAGGATTAGGTATACAAGCGGTCATTGTACAGGTAGGGTTTGGGCCTCCCTTTTGGTTCCCACTTTGCCTGGTGTGAGATCGAGTACTCTTATTGATATTGTATTTGCCCCCTCCCACCCAGGTAGTATCCCACTACTGCCAATCTCTTTCTTATAGTCTTATACTAAATGTTCAGGGTCCACTTAGAGTGAGAACAGGTACTCTGTTCTTTGTTTCTATGATAGATCACTGAGTATGATAGACTCTAAATCCATCCAAGTTGCTGAGAAGTCCGTGTGTTTGTCCTTCTTTATGGCTGCATAATATTCCATTGTATATATGTACCATAGTTTTTTTCTCCACTCCAGTTTCAATGGGCAGCACGGTTGGTTCCATGTTTTTTGCTATTGTGAATAGTGCTACAGTAAACATGTGCAGGTATCTTTTTTATAGAATGATTTGTGTTCTTCTGGGTATATTCCCTATAGGGAAATTGCTGGGTTATATGGAAGGTTAATGTCTAATTCTTGTTTTTTTTTTTGAGCTGGAGTCCTCACTCTGTCGCCCAGACTGGAGTGCAGTGGCCGCTCCCGGCCACTGCAGCCTCGACCTGCTGGGCTCCGGCGATCCTTCCACCTCAGCCTTCCAAGTAGCTGGAACTACAGACGCACGCTACCACACCCGGCTGATTTTTTATTTATTGTAGAGACGAGGTCTTGCCAAGTGCCCAGGCGGGTCTCGAACCCGCGGGCTCAGGCAGTCCACTCACCTCGGCCTCCCAAAGTGCTGGGATTACAGGCTGATCCACCGAGCCTGGCCTAATGTCTAATTTTATAAATCGCCACACTTTTCCAAAGAGGTTGCTAGTCTGCATTCCCACCAGTAGTGCAGAAGTGTTCCTTTTTTCTCTATATCCTTGCCAGCATCTGTTGTTTTATTAATGATGGCCATTCTTACTGGGGTTAGGTGGTTTCTCATTGTGGTTTTGATTTGCATTTTTCTGATGATATGTAAGACTGAGCACTTTTTCATGTGTTGGTGGGCTGCTCGTATATCTTCTTTTAAGAAGTGTCTTTTCATGTCTTTTGCCCACTTTTTAACGGGGCTGTTTGTTTTTTTCCTTTCTGCACATTTGAGTCCTTGCAGATCCTGGATGTTAGGTCTTTGTCAGATATATAGTTGGCAGACATTTTTTCCCATTCTGTGGGTTGTCTCCTTGCTCTCTTGATGGTTTCTTTTGCTCTGCAGAAGCTTTTCAGTTTGATGAGGTCCCACTTGTCTATTTTATCTCTTATGTCATGAACACTTAGGGTTTTGATCAGGAATTGGTTGCTAGTTCCAGTTTCCTTAAGGGTGTCTCCTGCATTTTCTAAGGTTCTTGTAGTTTGAGGTTTTATGTTTAGTCTTTGATCTGTTTAGAGTTCATTTTTGTGTCTGGTGAGAGGTAGGGGTCCTGTTTCAATCTTCTGCTTGTGGTCAGCCAGTTTTCCCAGCACCATTTACTGAAGAGCTTCTCTTCCCAGTGGGTGTTGGTAGAGGCTTTGTCAAAGATGAGTTGGTTGAGAAATTGAGGTTTTGCTTCTGGAATCTCTGTCTTGTTCCATTGGTCCATATGCTTATTCTTGTACAAATGCCAGGCTGTTTTGATTATTGTAGTCTTATAGTAAAGTTTAAAGTCTGGAAGTGTGATTCTTCCTGCCCTTTTTTTTTAATGATTGTTTTAGCTATTTGTGGTCATTTATGTTTCCATATGAATTTCTGTATTGGCATTTCCAGGTCTGAGAATGATGTTGGTAATGTAATGTGTATTGTGTTGAATCTAGATTGCCTTTGGTGGGATGGACATCTTAACAATGTTGATTCTTCCTATCCATGAGCGTGGAATATTTTTCCATTTGTTTGTGTCTTGGATTTCTTTGAGCAGTGTTTTGTAGTTTTCATTGTAAAGGTCTTTCACTTCTCTGGTTAGGAAGATACTGTGGTACTTCTTTTTTCGTGTGTGGCTATTGTACATGGGGTTATGCTTTTTATTTGGTTCTCTGCCTGCTCTTTGTTAGATCATAAGAATGCAGATGAGTTTTGCAAATTTATTTTGTACCCTGAGACTTTGCTGAAGTCCTTTATCAGTGCAAGCAGGTTGTTGACAGATTCTCTTAGGTTTTCGATGTATAGGATCATATTGTCAGCAAAGAGGCATAACTTTACTTCCTCTTTTCCTGTATGGATACCCCTGATTTCTTTCTCTTGTCTAATTGCTCTACCTAGGACTGCCAATAATGTTGAGCAAGAGGGGTGAGAGTGGTCAGTCTTGTCTTGTTCTGGTTTTTTTAGGGAAAATATTTCTAGTTTCTGTCTGTTTAGCAATATGCTGGCTGTTGATTTATCGTAGATGGTGCTTCCTATTTTGAGGTATATGTTCCTTCTTTACCTAGGTGTTTGAAGATTTTTATCAAGAAAGGATGCTGGATTTTATCAAAAGTTTTTTCTGTATCATGGTATAATCATGTAGTTCTTGTTTTTACATCTACTGATGTATTTAATTACATTTATGGTCTTGCGAATGTTGAACCAGTCCTGCATCCTGGGGATAAATCCTACTTGATCATGGTAGATGATTTTTGAGATGTGTTGTTGGATCCGATTTGCTAGAATCTTGTTGAGAATCTTTGCATCTATGTTCATTAGGGATATTGGCCTGTCAAAAAAAAGAACTTTTTTTGTTAGATCTTTACCCGTTTTGAGTATCAGTGTGATGTTAGCTTTGTAAAATGATTTGGGGAGAATTCCGTCTTTCTCATTGCCTGGAATAATTTCAATAGGACTGATAGCACCTCTTCCTTGTTGGTTTTGTAGAATTCTGCTGGGAGGCCAAAAAGCTACATTTAAAAGTTGTTTGTTTCGGCCGGGCCTGGTGGCTCAAGCCTGTAATCCCAGCACTTTTTGAAGCCAAGGTGAGGGGATTGCCTGAGCCCACAGGTTTGAGAACACCCTGGGCAACTTGGTGAGACCTCATCTGTACAATAAATTTTATTAAAAAATTAGTCAGGCATGGTAGCACGTACTTGTAGTTCCAGCAACTTGGAAGACTGAGGCGAAAGGATTACCTGAGCCCAGCAGGTCAACACTGGAGTATCTGTGAGCATGCCACTGCACTCCAGCCTGGGCGACTGAGTAATACTCAAACTCAAAAAAAAAAAGTGTTTGTTTCAAAGGTGTTTGACAAAAGGATTATAGCTTATGATTCTATACTTCTAGGTTTTTACTTAAGGTAAGTTGTTAATTGTGATTATTAATAGATGCGTACATGTTTTAGAGAGGTCGAATAATCTTTTATATATAAAGCAACACAAAAAATATTAATAACACTTTATTAATAAAATTTTTTTTTTCTTGTGGATACAGTCTCACTCTGCCTCCCAGGCTGGAATGCAGTGGCACAGTCATGGCTTAGTGCTGCTTCAACCTCCTAGGTTAAGGCAGTCCCTCTGTCTCAGCTGGGACTGCAGGCTCATGCTGGCCTGGCTCAGTTTTGTATTTTTTTGTGGAGATAGGGTCTCGTTATGTTGCCCAGGCTGGTCTTGAACTCCTGGACTCGAGCAATCCTCCCACTTTGACTTCCCAAAGTGCTAGGATTAAAGGTGTGAGCCAACTCACCTGGCTGAATAAAACTTTTATTAGTAAAAGTAGATCATTATTACATTGTTATAAAATGAGAATCTAAACTAATATTTTTTTCATAGAATTAATAGGGAGGTGAGATTGTTAATTTTAGGCTTGGGGTGATAGTTTTAAAAAATTATTTCAAATACTTCATGAATTCATTTAGACCACAGGGAGAGACTTTTATATATATATATTCTCAGCATGATTCTTATTAGTCAGTGTTTTATATTTAGTGCTTTTAAGCATTTCACTTAAAAAATAAATCAATCTGTTAACAGTGAGAACTAGGCAGTTAACAAGGGATCAGAAATATAATGGACCATGAACCAGGACAGAACCAGAAAGCAAAGTTCTTGATTTATAATACAACATTAAGTCTAATGCCAATTGGTTTTTATTCAAGATTCGATACAGTGATGGAACTCGTCAGTGTACCTCAGCTTTAAGGATCTAGGAATGAATGTGGACCTCTGGGAAATTATAGAATGCAGTGCCCAAAAGTGGAGTAGATGTTCACCATTCTAGTTACTGATACTATTGTTAATGAATCTAGGGAACATATTGATAATACTAAGTATCTCAGTTAAGATAAGGGATTTTACTAATTTGTCAGTCTTCATATGGTAAAATTCTTAAGTCCTTTGTGAAGAGAGGGTTTTCTTTCAAGAAAGTATGCTAACTGACAATGCTAATTAATACTTAGAAAATTAATGTTTAGGTTCTTATCCAAAGGGAGTAGTTATTATTTAATTTACTTAGTTTCCAGGAAAATGCAGAGTTTCTAAGTAGACGTTATTTTTTGTCAGTCTTCTGCCTTCTTTTCTGTAACTTTCCTCCTGACATCAGTTCTATAAATGGTTGCGTATTTCAGGTTATATTTCTGAGTGAATTAGAGACTTAATTGTATTGCCCTTTTTATTGTGCTAGTTCTTTTTTTTTTTTAATGAGTTGGAGTCTCACTATGTTGCACAGACTGGAGTGCAGTGGCATGATCATGGCTCACTACAACCTCCACCTCCTGTGTTCAGGTGATGGATCTGCTTCAGCTTCCCAAGTAGCTAGGACTATAGGTGTGAGCTACCTGTCTTGGCTAATTGATTTTTTTTTTTTGTAGAGATGAAGTCTCGCTATGTTGGCTATGGCTGGTCTCGAACTCCTAGGCTCAAGCAATTCTCCTGCCTTGGCCTCCCAAAGTGCTGGGATTATACGCATGAGCCACTGTGTCCAGTTTGTGCTAGTTTTTATTTTATTTTAATTAAGTTTTTCCTTTTCTTTCGAAAATGTCTATACATAACAGATTAAAAAAAAGTTTGTGTAATGAAAGTCTCATTATCACTAGAAATAAAGATTAGAAAGCTTCCATTCAGTTTGTTAAGGAAAAGATGGTAAGAATTCTAAATATTTTGTATGAGATCTGAAAAATGCATGAATTAAAGATGATAAATTTTAATAGTGTCAGTAGTTAGAAAAATAAATGATTCTTTTCCAGGAAGTTTTAGTTGCTCAATCTTAGTATATCATAAGATGTTTCCAGGTCTGTCTTGCATAGATTTATGATCTAAATAATATAAATTGTTTAATTAAATCTTGGTTATAGAATACGAGCCGATATCTGATAAATGTAGGTGTTTGCATAATTTTATTTTTTCTAGTTTTTAATCTATAATTTGCCAAGATTCATTTTTGCATGGCTGCTTTACTTGCAAGTCTTACTTAAATTGCCATAGGATGAATTAATTAATGAAGACAGTTTCTTGATTTTATTGTATAGAATATTATGCTGTGGTGTTTATGAACTTTATTTTCAAAATTTTCATCACTGATTTTAAGTAATGAACATTGGTGGAATGTTCATTACTTAAGGTAAATCTTTGTTTTATTATATTGAAAGGAGAGTTTGGGGGTTTTTTATACTACCAAGCCATTATTGTGTGCAGTCATTAAGAATAGTGAGTCTGGAATTGCTTTTATATGGTCAGCTTTTTCTTATGCATGTCTTAGTTTTCATGCCTTCAAAAAGTTTATTGTTAACTTTTTAGTGTAGTAAGTGCAACTACATGAAATAGCTGGTTTTTTTTATTTTTTATTATTATTTTTTTTGAGTTGGAGTCTCACTCCTTCGTCCAGACTGGAGTGCAGGAGCACGCATACTCACGGTCACCCCAGCGTCAACCTGCAGGGCTCCGGCGATCCTTCTGCCTCAGCCTTCTGAGTAGCTGGAACTACAGACACATGTTACCACGCCCGGCTATTTATTTTATTTTACTGTAGAGACGAGGTCTTGCCAAGTTGCCCGGGCTGGTCTCGAACCCGTGGACTCAGGCAGTCTACTTGACTTGGCCTCCCATAGTTCTGGGATTACAGGCTGAGCCACCAAGCCCGGCAGCTGTTTCTTATAAGTTAAAAATGGCCAAGTTTTGGCAGTTTCATATGATTCAGTTTAATATTTAGATTTACTTATTTTTTCATGCTGGGAAAATTAGAGCAGATATTGAATGGTAAAGTATTTTGAAAATTACAAGTGTTTTTTATTCTGAAATTTTTTTGTCTTCTGAAAATAAACATTTACTATATTTGCATACATTTGGTATTTTTGTCAGGTCTTATTTTTCTATTTTATTTCCTCCTACATGAATAGAACTTATTGTTTTCTTGACTTTGAAAGGAAAATCAATTATATTATGATCCTTCTACTGGAATATATTACTACTGTGATGTGGAAAGTGGTCGATATCAGTTTCATTCTCGAGTTGATTTGCAACCTTATCAGATGTCTAGTACGAAACAAAGTAAAGATAAAAAGTTGAAGAAGAAAAGAAAGGACCTGGATTCTTTTAGGACAAATGAGGAAAAGGTAATGTCTTTATAATTTAAAAAATGTACATAATAGTGATAGCATGTTAGTTAAGCCAACATTTTTTATGAAACTGAAACTCTTTCAGTAACTTGATATTTCAAAAACATTCATTAAGATAACAATCAAGAAAAGACTTTCACAAGTTTTCAGTCACTAGAAATAGAAGACATTTCTAAAATTTGAAGAAGATAGTAAAATTTAGGGGAGATGGAAGATACTGTGTTGTATAATTTGAAAGAATTCAGACCCTCAGTTGATAAGTTAATAACAACACACAATTAACAATAAAAGAAAAACAGTTTGTAGATAGACATAAATACAGGTTCAGCTTTCTTAGTTATTTTGAGCAATTTTTTTAACCTATTAGTAAACATTTTTAAAAAATCCATTGCTGGCAACTATGAAGTAAGATATTTATTGATTAGGATTAAGAGTTTAGATGACCTGCAAGATATTGATTAAGAAAGTGATGGTACATTTAATTGAGAAAGTGTTATGTGGGCCTTCAGTGGTGCCAAAAGACTAAGGAAAACACTAAAATTGCCTGTGATGCAATGTTAAATTGGAAGAAGGAAAATATTAAAAAACGTTATCAGTGTTCTTCTCCCTAAACAGATAAGATTGGTGGTTTATAGGCAGGAAAAAAGACTTGTTTATTGACCTTTTGTGAATTGTGACAACTATTTGATACTTTACTCTCGAAATTTTATCTCATGCTTTTCTTAGCCAAAGAAAAATTCCTTAAAAGAATACCAAATTCTAAAGTTCACATAAGGAGTTAGGATTCTGTTGCATTTATTTTCTGGTCTCTATTGGATTTGTGTCTGTTTTTCACAGATAGTACCTCGGAATAGAAGAGTATATGACTGAAATACAAAAAATGATTTTTTAAGTTAAGGTATACTCATCAATTTTTTAATTTTTAAAGATATTCTGTGAGCCTCAGTTTTTGGAGGTGGAGGCTATGTGGAAAGAAGGCAATAGGGTGAGGAGATTGGAGTAAATTATTTGAAATACATGTATATGCCTCAGTGCCCATATGTAGGTCCCCACTTTCTTAACTCTTCATGAATATTTATCTAACATTCTGTACTGGCAAATCGCTTATAAAAAGTGACACCTCTGGCAGTTTCACTCACTTTTTCTCTGAATATACTGTCCAATAAGCAATAATAATAAAATATACAAGATTGGAAACTGTTTAAGTATATATAGATATAGAAGTTTTTTGCTGTAATGTATGATAGCCTGTAAAGTTCCTCACAGTTTTCAGCTCCTTGCCCTTGTTCTTGTCCTTGGTGAGTCTGTATTGCTGGAAGTGTATGTAGTTTATCATAACTGTGAATATTTAGCCAGTCTCCAAACTGAATTTATGCTGCTATTAAATATATGTGTGTGAGATGCTCTCATATTTTATAAAGTAACAAAAGAACATATGAATTCACTTCATCATGTTGCTCTAAGCTAGAAAGAAAATTGAGAGTGTGTTGCCAACCAAAGGAAAACGAGGAAAATAACTCTTTGCTTCTAAGGCTAAAGTAATAACTTTGTCCATTGTACAGAATGGTGACTATAGTTAATAATAATGTGTTATATTCTTTAAAATTTCTGAGAGTAAATTTTACATGTTCTCACCACAACAAAAGGATAAGTATGTAAAGTAATATACATGTTAATTAACTTAATTTAGCCATCTCACAATATACACATATTTCAAAACCTCATGTTATGCATGATAAAAATACATCAATTTTACTTGTCAGTTAAAAAATAGATTTGCTAGCCGGGCTCGGTAGCTCAGCCTGTAATCCCGCGCCTTTGGGAGGCTGAGGTGAGTGGATTGCCTGAGCCCGTGGGTTCAAGACCCGCCTGGGCAGCGAGACTTCATCTCTACAATAAATCAAAAAATCAGCCGGGCGTGGTAGTGCGTGCCTGTAGTTCCAGCTACTTGGAAGACTGAGGCGGAAGGATCACCGGAACCCAGCAGGTCGAGGCTGCGGTGGCTGGGAGCGGCCACTGCACTCCAGTCTGGGCGACAGAGTGACACTCCAACTCAAAAAAAAAAAAAATAGATTTGCTGATTGATCATAAGACATGCCAGTTATACATGTACAATAAGTTAATAATAAAGGACTGTGCTAGTTGAGTTGAAATTTTGTAATAAAAGATATAACTAATTTGTATGCAAAACTTAATACATGTTATCAAGAACTAACTTCAAAGAGTGTACTAAAATTTTAGCACAACTACAATTTTGGATCTTTAAATTCATACTGTAAGTAAAGCCAATTCTGTGTTTGTATTCACTTGCTAATTGACCCAAGAGTTTAAAAAGAACATTTAGAGTAGATGTATTCTCTAGGCCTACACTGTCCAGTAAGGTAGTCCCTAGCTATGTATGTCTGTTGGAGCATTTGAAGCATTGTTAGTGCAAATTGACATGTGCTGGTAAGTGTCAAATATACTCTGGATTTTGAAGACTTAGTCCAAGAAACACATGTAAACTATCTCATTAATAATTTGACTTTTAAAATGTGGCTACTTGAAAATTTAAAAGTACAAATATGGCTTATATTTAATTTTTATCAGACAGCATTGGTCTTGGCTATCCCATGATCTAGGTAATATGTGATGAGGGCCTGGACTAGGAATGTTAGAACATTGAAACTAGGTGGGAGAACAGATTGGGATAAATTGTAGATTGAGTCTATAGCACTTTGTAATTGATTCTGTGTGGTAGTTAAGGGGATGTCAAAGGTTACTATAAGATTTTTAATGTTGATGGCAAGAGGATGGTAATGTCATTAACCAAGAAAGGGAACATGAAAAGAAGAAGGGGTACAGATGATAACTCTTGTTATTTTACTGTACATATATTCTCAGTAGTTCATTGAAACTTGTTGTAATGTTATAAGACAGTGATGTTTAAGACTGTTCTTCCCTGTTCCACTTACTTACCTAGGATTTGAGTTCAGAAGATCAAAAAGCCTTCAGTGTTGAACATGTAAGCTGCAATGAGGGAACACATTTTGCAAATATGAGAAAGAAGGCCAAATTAGACATTCATCACAAAAATAGTCCTCCAAAACTCACTGTTCCAGTTAGTGGAAATACTATAGAATCTCATCTTAATGAAAACATCTCAAATTCAACTTCATTTAAAGATGAAAATATCATAGAGACTGATAGTGAGCCAGAAGAAGGTGAAATTACAGACTCTCAGACTGAGGATAGTTATGATGAAGACGTTACCAGTGAAGGCGGTGTAACTGCTGAAGATTCTGAGGATGAAGGTGAGTAAATAATCATCATTTAATTTTACATAAATAACACAGTCTGGTCATTGTAAAAGACTAAAACAATTAAAAATGTTAATGACTCATAGTACATCTACCAAAAGTAAACTGATTATTTTGATGACATTATTGAAAATCATGTGGTCTACCACTTGGTTATTTTTAGAGAGTAGGATGTGAATAAATGACTAATACTTGGACCTTCAGAAAGTTTCACTGTGTTGAATGTTCTAATGAATAGAACATAAAACCAAGTTACCTACATTCAGTTCTAAAAGTATTTATTAAGGCTATTTTAGGGTTAGGTATTTGAGGTCTATTTTTGTGATTGAGGTGGAAAACAAGTTGCCTTTAAAGTGTGGTTCTGGAATTCAGTCGCCTAGGTATTATGGTAAATCTAATTTTTTTTTACTTGAAGATATAAAGATACATATTTAAAACACAGAGTTTTATTTGTTTGTTTTTGTTGTTGTTGTTTGAGTCAGGGATCTCACTCTGCTGCTCAGGTTGGAGTACAGTGGCATGATCATGGCTCACTGCAGCCTTGACCTCCTGGGCTCAGGCTATCCTTTTTTCTCAGCCTCCTGAGTAGCTGGGACTATAGGCATGTACCACCACATCTGGCTAATTTTTTGATTTTTTTGTAGAGATGAGGTCTCGCTGTGTTGCCTAGGCTGCTCAAACTCCTGGCCTCAAGCAATCCTCCCGCCTTGGCCTCCCCAAGTGCTAGGGTTTCAGATACGTACCACTGTGCCTGGCCTTCAAACTCAGAATTTTATATTACAGTTGATTTCCCATATCCATGGGTTCTGCATTCATGAATTTAGCCAACTTCAGATTGAAAATACTCAGGAAAAAAGGATGGCTGTGTTTGTATTGAAAATTGTCATTACTTCCTAAATAATAAAATATAACAACTATTTAGCATTTATATTGTATTAGATATTGTAAGTAACTAGAGATGATTTTAAGTATATGTAAGGATATGCATAGGCTATATGCAATTACTACCCCATTTTATATCAGGGACTTGAGCATCCTTGGATTTTGGTATATGAGGAGAGATCCTGGAACCAAGTCCCCCACAGATACCTAGGGACAACTGTTTAGTATATGAGCCTATTTTGTTCTTTTGTTCTCAATGGAATTTCTCTTGCGCTGTTAAAAAAAAAAGTGGGCTCAATTTTTTTTAACATAAAATAATATAAAAGTATTTGGGATATTTTCAAATTCCAAGACCTTAAAAAAGAAAGAGTTGATTATTTTATGACTGTGATAGATGTTAAATATGCTGCATACCTTTATATTGATCACTTTAAATTAGTAATTGTTAATCCTAATAGCTGTTAATCCTTACTCATTGCTATATATATCATATAGCAGAATTTAAGAAGTTTTAGATAGAATTAAGATTTTTGGTCAATATATTTTTATTTTACAGATGTCACCTATGCAGTTCTTTTTTATGGCATTTAAGCTAATATTTACTCACTTTTTTCCTTGGCAGATGAGGAAAAAATTTGGCCCCCGTGTATTAGAGTAATTGTTATTAGATCACCAGTATTACAGACAGGATCACTCTTCATCATTACAGCTGTAAATCCTGCTACAATTGGAAGGTAAATATGGTTAATATTATTATATCATTCTTTCATTTATTGAGCATGTTTTGTTCACTAAGCATTGTTCTATGTGCTGTGGATACAAATGTAAAAATCTCTACCCAAAGAAAGCACCATCTGAAGAAAAAAAGGTTATGTGGACAAGTAATTACTGTGTGAAAGCATAGGAAATCTAGAGCAGCAGTGAGGAAACTGAGTAGTCTATAACCAGGAGATTAACTATAATCGACTTGAATTTTAACATTGTGTTTCAAAAAATTCTTACCATGTCATTCTAAGTGGTGCACTTATATGTTTCAAAAATTATTTAAGACACTTTACTTAACTCTGCAGAGAAAAAGATATGGAACATACTCTCCGAATCCCTGAAGTTGGTGTCAGTAAGGTAAGTTCTTTGATTTCTCATGTATCGCTCCCTATATATAATTTTTAAAATCATCATTACAGTAGAAAGCTTAGGGTTTTTCTCATTTAATAGTAAAGTTAATATTCAGTGTAGTAATGATAATGAAGACAATGCAGGATTCCAGTGCTTGAGAAAACAACAATTCCTTATCACAATTTGAGTAAACTAAATTATACTTTTTAATAGTCTGGAGCAGGAATAGAAAACATAGATTAATTTAATCTAAATATTAAAGTAGTACTCATTTAACAAATATTTATTGAGTGAAATAAATAGACTACATTTATGACAGTTCAAACATGAATTATATGTGAATTCAAGCTACTTTAGTAGGTGGTTACTCTGAATCTACTGTGGCATATTCATACAATGGATTACCATTCAGCAAAATGAACAAAGTACAACTGTGGATAACAACAGGTGAATGAAAAAATTTTTTCTTTAATTTATGTTAATGTTGGAGAAAAAAATATTAATACTAGACTTTCTGAGTTTACAAAAATTATAGAATCGCAAAGATAATTTTGAATTAAATTAAATCACAAAACAATTTTGCTATATATATATATATGTTGAGAGACAGATTTAAAAGGCAGACTAGGACAGTCACAGCAAATATGGCAGAATATTTATCCTTTATATTTTAAAAGCTCATAAAAATTTGTTTTCAAACTCCACTGTGACACCAGTAGGTAAGTGAACAAATTACATACATAGACCATTCATAATAAAGGAAATATAGTTAATATATGAAAAACCATTCAATCTTTCTAGTAACCTAAGAGATACATATGAAGGCAAGGTGTCAATTTTCATTCATCCTGTTTATGAAAATATTCCTCTTGGGAATATAATATAATTGTAATATATTAATATATTATAATATAGTTTGGTAATATCAAAAGACATGAAACTGCTTAAATCTGTTGATACAGTCGTTACTATGCTAAACAACCCAATTGGAAAAAAAGTGCAAAGAACTTAAAGAGAAAATTCACAGAGGAAGAAACCCAAATGGCTAATAAATATAAAATATTAAACACATATAAAAAGTAAGTATATTAGAAAAGGTTTTCAGTAGTAAACAGGGAAATGCAGTGCAAATTAAAAATCATAGTGAAAAGACTTTATATTACATCTCTTAGGAACTAGCAAAAATTAAAAATTTTGACAATACCAAGTTTTGGTTTAAGATATATAGAGCACCAAGAATTCTATTCTTACTATTGGTGGGAATATAAATTGGTTCAATCACCTTCGAAAACAATGAGCCTGTAATCCCGGTGGCTCAGCCTGTAGTCTCGCACCTTTGGGAGGCTGAGGTGAGTGGATTGCGTGAGCCCACGGGTTCGAGACCCGCCTGGGCAACTTGGCGAGACCTCATCTCTACAATAAATCAAAAAATGAGCCGGGTGTGGTAGTGCACACCAGTTACTTGGAAGGCTGAGGTGGAAGGATCACTGGAGCCCAGCAGGTCGAGGCTGCGGTGGCCGGGAGCGGCCACAGCACTCCAGTTTGGGTGACAGAGTGAGACTCCAACTCAAAAAAAAAAAAGAAAAGAAAAAGGAAACAATGTCTATATCCAGTTTAAAACTTGCATATACTATAATTGAGCAATTTCATTCCTAAGTATATACCCCAGAAAAACACTTGCATCTTGTACGCAGAGCATTTGCATATACAAGAAAGTTCATAGCAATCTTTTTTTTTTTTGAGTTGGGAGTCACACCCGGCTATTTTTTTAAAAAATTTTATTGTAGAGATTAGGTCTCACCAAGTTGCTGGGGCTGGTCTCGAACCCACGGGCTCAGACAATCCACTCACCTCGGCCTCCCAAAGTTGCTGGGTTTACAGACTGAGCCACTGAACCTGGCCTAGCAATCTTTTTAAAAATAGTAAAACCTCAGAAAACATCTGGTGTCTATTATCAAAAGAATAGATAGGTTGTAGTATACTTGTACAGTGGACTACCATTCAGCAAAGTAAATGAACTATAACTGTACATAACAACTGGATGAACCTCATGACTTAATGTTAAGCCAAAGAAGCAAAATAAAGGGATTTATATAAACAAAGTGCTGTGGAACAAGGAGGGAATGATTAGACCTCAGAATTGAAGATCTGGAAAACGTCTTTGAGAAGTTGATCTTGAGTGTTTCAAATCACATTTTGTGCTAAGTTTTTAGGCCGAGCATTTTGGCTCTTGCCTGTAATCCCAGCACTTGGGCAGGCTGAAGCAGGATTGCCTGAGACCAGGAGTTCAAGACTAGCCTGGGCAATATAACAAGACCTTATTTTAACAAAATTAAAAAAAAAATTTGACCAGGTGCGGTGGCTCAAGCCTATAATCCCATCACTTTGGGAGGCTGAGGGGAGAGGATTGCCTGAGCTCAGGGGTTCAATACCAGCCCGGGCAACTTGGCGAGACTTCATCTCTATAATAAAATAAAAAAATTAGCCAGGCATGGTAGTGCACGCCTGTAGTTCCAGCTACTTGGAAGACTGAGGCAGAAGGATCACCCAGCAGGTCGAGGATGTGGTGGCCGTAAGCGTGCCACTGCACTCCAGCCTGGCAACAGAGTGAGACTCCAACTCAAAAAAACAAAAAAAAAATTAATGAGGTGTGATGGCACAAACCTATAGTCCTGGATACCTGGGGAGTTGAAACAAGAGGATTGCTTGAGCCCAGGAGGTTGAAGCTGCTGTAAACTGAGTGAGACTGTCCTCTCTCTAAAATAAATACGTAAATAAATAAATAATGTTTAACGATATAGGCAAATACTTTTATTAGGTGAAAAAAATTCAAATTGTGTATATAGTATAATCTCCACTCTGTTGAAAAAGTAAGAGGTAGGACATACACTAAATTATTCAAGGAAGTTAAAGGTGAAATTAGAAATTACACTTTCCTTCTATAACCTCTGTATTTCTATCAGAAACATATAATTATATTTTTAAGAAAAGCATTAAAAATAATATGTTAAATGATCAGAGCTCAAGTTCACATCATCCTATCAGAGAGAAATTGTCCATAGTTAAAAGAGTATAGTGCTTTATAATTGCTTGGTTTCTTTTTCTCAGTTTCACGCAGAAATTTACTTTGACCATGACTTGCAGAGTTATGTCCTTGTGGATCAAGGCAGTCAGAACGGCACAGTTGTTAATGGAAAACAGATTCTTCAGGTGAGTGCATGTGAATTAATTGCCCTCACCTTATTTTTGTAAAGCTGAACTGGAGCTTTTTATTTCTGAATGCCAGAGTCATTACAGGTATCATTTGGTTCAGATCAGAGTCAAGTGAAAATGTGTTACTTGGAAGAGAGTTCCCAGAAAAGCTGGAAAAAAACTATACAGTCAGTGGATAATTGGCTGTTGAGTTTTGATCTCTAATATGTATCTGTTCCTCGTTTTTATATATGAATGCATTGTAAAGTTGCTCAAAGTAAATGTTCTTACAGCAACTCTGAGGACGCTCTTTTTTGAAATTAATGGTCATAATGGAAATGTTACTAAACTGGAAACTCCTTGAAGGCAGCAGCTGTATTTATTCAGTTAACACCAATATTTCCAGCATGTAGTGAAGTGCTTGGCAGAGAGTAAGAAAACTTGGTGGGCAACCCCCTTGGCTCCCTTCCCACTGTGGGAGCTTTTCTGTCCTTTTAATAAATCCTGCTTTCTCAAAATAAAATATAAAATAAAATAAATAAAGTAATACTAAAAAAAAGAAAACATGGCAGGAAGGGAGGAAGAGAAGGAGAGGAAGGAGGCCTTATTTTTAGTCTATAAGAATAAAAATGAAATAAAATCGAATTTTCAAGAGAAAAGTAGAGGAAAAAAGGGAGGTGTGATGCACTTACTCTGTTCTCTTAACCCTTCATCTTTTTGACTATGATTATTTGTTGTTGTAGTAGATTATTTGAAGTCTTGAGTTAGACATTTCTGATTGCATTTGGTATGGAGATAGGGAGATTAGTGGGTTTTAATAAGATACAAATTATAAGTTGCTCAGTTCAGCTGTCTACTAGATAAAAAATTTTTTTGGAATAGGAGTCTTGCTCTGTCGCCCAGGCTGGAGTGCAGTGGCACACTCACAGCCACCGCAGCCTCGATCTGCTTGGCTCAGGTGATCCTTTTACCTCAGTCTTCCAAGTAGCTGGAACCACAGGCATGCGCCACCATGCCTGGCTAGTTTTTTTGATTTATTGTAGAGATGAGGTCTTGCCAAGTTTCCCAGGGTGGTCTTGTACCCCTGGGCTAGGACAGTCCTCTTGCCTCTGCCTCTCAAAGTGCTGGGATTATAGGCAAGAGCCACTGTGCCCGGCTAGTTAAAACATTTTTTATGGGTCATCCATCTCACTCTGTCACTCAGGCAGGAGTGTGGTGGCAGCCTCATAGCTGCCACGGCCTCAACCTGCTGGGCTCAGGTGATCCACTTCAACATTCCGAGCAGCTGGAACTACAGGCATGTGCCATCACGCCCAGCTAGTTTTTTGATTTATTGTAGAGATGAAATCTTGCCAAGTTGCTCAGGCTGATCTTGAACCCTTGAGATCAGGCAATCCTCTGATCTCCCCCTTCTTGTGTGTCTATTTCTTTGAGAACCATTTTAAATATTTTAAAAATTATAATCAGGGATTACTTACAGAAGACATAAAATAACCATATGTGACTGTTTTGGACTTCTGTTTTGTAAAATTTTTCCCTTCTAGCCGAAAACTAAATGTGACCCCTATGTACTTGAGCATGGAGATGAAGTGAAAATTGGGGAGACTGTGTTGTCCTTTCACATTCACCGTGGCAGTGATACCTGTGATGGCTGTGAACCAGGGCAGGTTAGAGCCCACCTTCGCCTTGATAAGAAAGATGAAGCTTTTGGTACGTGAAACATTGTTGAGTGTTTTTTCTTTAATTGACTGTCTTTTAAAAAGAATCAGCCAGCTACTGGCTTCATATCTAATTGATATGATACCATATTGAGATATATTTGTAAAAGGCTGTCAGCCTTGCATCTAATTGATATAATGATCAAGATATATTTACATTTACATGGGATTAAGAAATGACATGTATTTGAAATTTGAGACCTAGGATAATTATGATTGTAGTTGATATTTTTGTGTGATAGTTTATCTGTGTGATGTGTAGCAACAGGTTGCTTTCTGAGCAGAAAAGAGCCTATAATCAGCTGTTTTTGCTAATATAGTGTAATAGGCGTTTGAAGCAGACTGGGAGGTAGCTAAATGTCCTTCAAGAATAATTATACTTGAAAATTACTAAGGGAGTAGATTTTATTTGTTTTCACACACATACAAAATTGATAAGTATGTAGGGTAATGCATATGTTATTTAGCATGATTTAACTGGTTCACGGTATATATAATACTAAAATATGTTGTGCACCATATATAATTTTTATTTGTCAACTAAAATAAATAATTTTAAATATAATTGTAACACAGATATAATAAAGATTAGTTTCCTTTTAGCATCTTTTTTATTGATACAAAAAAAGTCATACAATATTTGCATAGAAAATAATAGACCAAGGCATTAAGGGTTATTGGTTGATATGCCTTCTGTTCTATTAATAGTTTGTGTTGGTATATTGTCTGTGTGTACCATTATTTTTTATAATAAAGAACACTATAGGATATTGCTGTTGTACTTTTAACTCACTCATCTAAAGCTCTCCAAATTTAAATAGATGCTTTGAACTACTAAGAGGTAATCTTTTTTCATAATTAGTTTTTCCCCCTAAATGCCAAGTATGCATGTTCATTGTTTATTTTTTGTTTTCTGATACTAATTTGAAAATTAGTTACACAGTAACATGAATCTTGGGTTCTGTGACTTTTATTTTCATTTTGCATGCCTGTGTTCTTTTGGAAATTTATTTAATATTTCTGTATTTGAGATTCTATTATAATAATACTGCAAAATTTAGATGTTCATTGTTCATTTTGGTATCTATACTGTAATCTTACAATCTTTGGTGTCCTTCTCAAGTAGGTTTAGTTACCAAAATGCTCAAAAGACATCATCACAAACCAAGATGTTTTATATTAATGTTTATTTCAATTTCTGGTTAATAGGAATGAGTTACTAGTGGTCTATATTAGCTTTTTATTAATTAAGTAACATTAGTATTATTTTCCACAAAATCGGATTTAGTAGATTTTTTTCTTTAACTAAACTTACTCTTTGTCTTTTAGTTGGTCCAACACTAAGCAAGGAGGAAAAGGAGTTGGAAAGAAGAAAAGAATTAAAGAAAATACGAGTAAAATATGGTTTACAGGTAAGAATTTTAAATACTGTTTCATGTGTTAAACTGCATATCAGGTTTGAGTAAAAATGCCTTTAGAGATGCTGAATACATTTTATACAAATAAAGAGTTTCTTAGTATGATTTTGAGATTTATTTGATTTCTATTAGATGACTGTTCTGGTATTTATAACCTAAAAACTGTTGAGGTTGGAGTAGAAAAATGATTTTAACAGTCAGTCTATATTTGAATATCCATTTCTGGCTTTCAAAAAACTTGCATTAAGATGCTATTGACATAGCTGGGCACAGTAATCCCAACTGCTCCAGAGGCTGAGGCAGAAGAATGACTTGAGGCCAGGAGTTCGAGGCTGGAATGAGCTATGGTATAGCCATTATACTCTAGACTGGACAGTATAGCAAGAGACCCTGTCTCTAAAAACAAAGAAAAAAGATGCCATAGTTAGAGTTTTAATACTACCTGATTTCAAGACTCATAAGCTACAGTGACTACGACTATAGTATTGGCATGAAGATAAACAAATAGATGGAATAAAATAATGAGTTCAGAAATAGATCTGTATGTATGTGGATAGCTGGTTTTCAGCAAAAATATAAAGGCAGTTTGGTGGAGAAAGAGTGGTCTTTTTCAGCAAATGATGCTAGAATAGTTGGATGGCCACATGCCAGAAACAAAGAAAAGGGCTTGATCTATGCTTTATACCATATAAAAAAATGAACTGAAAATGGATCGTAGATAGAAATGTAAAACCTCAACTTTCAAACTTTTAGAAAACACAAAGAGGAAAGGGCGAAGATTTCTAACACCAGATGCATAATCCATAAGAACAAATTGGTAGTCTGCATTTTCTCAAAATTAGAAACTTGTGCTCTTTCAAAGAAATTATTAAAAGAATGTAAAGACAAGCCACAGACTAGGAAAAATATTTACAAATCATCCATCTGATAGAAGACTTGAATCTAGAATATATTTTTGAAAACTTGTAAAACTCAATAGTAAGAAAACAACTCAGTTAAAAAATGGGCAAAAGATTTGAATAGATACTTTGCCAAAGAAATATACAGATGGCAAGTTAGCGCATGGAAAGATGTTCAGTATCATCAATCTTTAGGGAAATGTAAATTAAAAACACAGTGAGATACTGCTACACATCTATTATAAAAATACCACTACACAACTGACTATAAAAATGTCGGAAGTGATGTAGAGGAGCTAGAAATCTCATATAGTATAAGTGGAAATGTAAAATGGTGAGTTGCTTTGGTCAGCATCTTAAACAATTAAACATACGCCTATTATATGATTAAGCCATTTCACTCCAAGATAGTTACCCAAGAGAAATGCAAGCATATTGTTATACAATGACTAGTAAACAAGTATTTATAGCTTTCGTTTTTGTAATAGTCAAAAACTGGTAAAAACTCAAATGTTCATCATATATGACAAACAATGGTGTATCCATATGGTGAAATACTATATAGCAATAAAAAAGCAGAAACTGTTGATAAAGGTTACAACCTGGATGAATCTCAGTTTTACTGAGTGAAAGAAACCAGACAGAATGAATATATACAGCATGCTTCTAGAACTTTTGGAGCAGGTTTGCTGTGCCCTGTTTTCCAACTTGTCTGAGTTTGGTAAGACAATGCACTCATGCAAGAAGTTACATCAAACAGGTTTATTACTTACAGGTAAGCAGCAATGGACAACAGAAACCTAGGATTCATTGTGAACCAGTCCCTCAAGACTCAGAAAGCTGCTTTTCTGGGCAGATGAAGTTTCAACTGTGTGTGCCTCACTTGTGTAGCACATGAGGGACCCTGGAAAGCAACCTGCCCTGTGTTATTATATACCTCAGGGCCATGGACTCACTGGACTGAAGTGTTGAAGGACATCCCTTTTCTAGGCAAGACCGCAAAAGAGGCTGGGCGGTTCAGTCAGTCCTTTCTTATCTCAGGATGTTACATTCCCAGCACATTCTAGAGTTATTCTTGAGAACTATAAGCAAGAAAATGAGATAACTGCCCTGCACCATATATATAAACTTCTAGGAAAGCAAATGTGTTGTGACAGATCAGTGGTCTCTTGGACACAAGGGAGGAATGAGACAGAGGGAAGGTCTGGAAGGATGGATTACAAAGAGAGACAAGGACACTTTTGGGGGAGATGGGTATGTTTATTATCTTGCTTTTAGTGATAATTTAATAGCTATGTAAATCTCAAAAGTATCTCATTGAAACTTAAGTATATGATTTATTGTCTATTAATATCACAATGACTCTTTTTTAAAAAGTTACCATTTAATTCTGTACAGCAGGTTAGTCTTTCCAGGTTACTTTTGAGAAACTTAAGCTCAGGGTCCCTAGCTACTAAATTATAGAGCTAGGTATAGGATGTAGGTCTTAAAATATTTTTACATTTCATGGAGACATGGAAAAAGAAGTTGCTGCCACGATAACATGTTTTTCTGCAAAATTATATACTTTTTGTTATTGTGCTAAGGAAGAGAAATCATAATGGAAAAAATGTCAAGATAGTCCAATTTGGGAGGAAAATAGAAGTCATATAAAGAGAGAATAAAATGTTCTCTCAAAAACTTAACTCATTTTCTTTATTATCTTCTGGGGGAAAAATTCAATAGGGTAGGTGGTTCTGTTTTTCTTCTCTGTTGAAAAGCAAAATTAAGTAAAATCTTCCGTACTTCACTTGAGTTTCTATTCAGTCCCTAGCATCTCTCTGGATGAATGTCATACTTAAATACATATAAGGAAGCAATAAGAAAGGGAAAGGGAAGCCTTCACTGAGCCCCAAACTGAATTGACTACCTCTTCTTTGTGCCATGCCACATCTTGTGTATACCTTTATTGTTTAACCAGTCACACTGTAGCAGGCCGAAGACTTTGTGTCTTCCCTCTGACATTCTGTCACGTAGCATGGAGCTTGACACACTCTTTACTCAGCAGTTTTTTTGCTGAGGGACTGATTAGCCATTTAAATAGAGCTGTATTGAAGCAAAAAGCTATTGTTATCACCAGGGTAAAAGATATTTGGCTTTTTCTCATTTTTTAACGTGCTTTTCTTTTTCTTTCTTTTTTGAGTTGGAGTCTCACTCTGTTGCCCAGGCTCAAGTGCTCATGGCTCATGGCTCATGGCTCATGGCACATGCTCATGGCTTCTGTAGCCATGACCTTCAAGGTTCAGGTGATCCTTCTGACTCAGCTTTCCAAGTAGCTGGAACTACAGGTGCAAACCACCACACCTGATGAATTTTTTTGATGTATTGTAGAAAAGAGAGCTCGCCAAGTTGCCCAGGCTGGTCTCGAACCCCTGGGTTTAGGCAGTCAGTCCTTTTGCTGCCTCCCAAAGTGTGTGCCACCACACCTGACCTTAAAGTGTTTTTCTATTTTTCCTTCCAAGAAACAATATCAAACAATTGGTAGTTCATATGACAATATGAAAACACAGCATTAAGTCAAGATATACTATATTTTCACCACATTATCTTCTTATCATTTATATTGTGATATAATTTGAAATATTGTAGTTTATCTTCTTTAATTGTTTATAGAAACCACATTGAAACATGTGACAAATGTACAGAAATTACATGTTTACTATCAGCTTTCTTTTCCTCATGAATATTTTGTGTTTACTAAGAATACAGACTACGAAGATGAAAAGAAATTGAAGAATCCAAAATACAAGGATAGAGCTGGAAAACGTAGGGAGCAGATTGGAAGTGAAGGAATTTTCCAAAGAGATGATGCTCCTGCATCTGTTCATTCGTAAGTATTGAATTACCATTGCTGGAAACCTCCTTTATTCCATAATCATATGCATAGGGGTGTCTGACTTATAGGGCTATATACAAGGGAGAACCCCAAAAAACCTGGAATTTATTTATAAAAAAATGTGTATTTATTCTTAAATATTTAAACTTCAGTCACCTTCAAAGTACTCTCTGTTTGATGCAGTACATCTATCGAGACACTTTTTCCACTGCTCAAAACAGTTTTTGAACTCGTCAATTTGAACACCTTTTGGTACTTCTACCCTCAGCAAAATGTTTCCCTTTGAGGACTTTTTTCACCCAGGGAAACAAAAAAGTGCTCGAAGTGAGATCAGGTGAATAGGGAGGGTAGAGCACCGGAGTCATGCCATTCTTTATCAAAAACTGTTGAACACTAAGCTCAGTGTGGGCAGGTTGTTCATGTAAATCACCCATCATGAAATAGGCAAACATGTTGAAAGAATCTCCAAAAACAAAATTTCACTGAAACTGAATTCTGCCTCTCAAAACAATGCTAGCTGGTACACTGACGTTGATGGGCTCCTAGAGCACATAACCCAGCAGGTAAGCCTATACTGTAAGGGGCCTGCCCTCCTAAAGATAATCGTGGGTTTTGGGGGGTTTCCTCTCGTATTCTGATAGGTGACTTTTAAAGGAAAAGTTTTAGGACAAGATGGAAACATTGAGTCTATTTACACTTCCTCCTAATATTAAAATTCCATTATTCCCTCCCAAATTACTGAGCATATACGTGAGCACCCATATTATTATTATTATTATTATTATTATATTTTTTTGAGTTGGAGTCTCACTCGGTCGCCAGACTGGAGTGCAGTGGCCGCTCCCGGCC